ATGTTAAAACATGGTAGTACCTTTACATTAAATCATGTTAAAACATGGTAGTACCTTTACATTAAATCATGTTAAAACATAGTAGTACTTTTACATTAAATCATGTTAAAACATGGTGGTACCTTTATATTAAATCATGTTAAAACACAGTAGTACTTTTACATTAAATCATGTTAAAACAAGGCAGTACCTTTACATCAAAAACATAATGGTACTACCTCTACAGTTAAACAAGGGTTGATTAATACTGTTAAAACAACATGGTACTTCCTCTACATCAAATACAAGGATAGTTTAATACTATTAAAACATCATGATACTACCTGTACATTAAAAACAATGGTAATTTAATACTATTAAAACATCATGATACTACTTGTACATTAAAAACAATGTTAGTTTAATACTATTAAAACATCATGGTACTACCTGTACATTAAAAACAATGTTAGTTTAATACTATTAAACATCATGGTACTAACTGTACATTAAAACACCATGGTACTACCTATACATGAACAAACCTTAAAGGAATTTCCACATCACTCTGCCAAATAATTTCATCTTCGGAATATCTTGATAAACACATATCCATGTTTCCAAAAGCAAGTGGTATTTCTCCATCGTTGGATGAGAATACAATACAAGTAAAGTCATCAGTTTGATCTAACATAACATCTATAGTCTTAGGTTCTGATGGTGACGGAATAACTCCACTATCTACCAGTTGAAGTCCAGAAACAGGAGTCATGACACGTATTAGTTGAGTAAAAGGTTCACTGGACCCTTGAAGTGGGTTCCAGGCATATATACTAATGTTATAGACACCAGACTACAGAGGTGAAAAAAATGGTTTCTTTAATGCAATTCTCCAAATTACATGAATCTTCTTGATGTATTACTTATCGAATACATACAGCTACTTGGAATGATAACAATTGGAGTATTTAAAGACAGTCTAAGATATAGATTCAAATCAATAAAAAGGTTCAAATAGGACATAGTGAGCCTGGAGGAAACGTCCCCTTCTCGTTCAATGTGTATTTATTACCTTTACTATGTCCTATTTGAACTATTTCTACTAATTTTATAAACAAATTATAATTATGTTTTAAAGATGCTCATTTCCCTTCATGAAACCTTCTGCAAATGTAGTATCAAACAATTTAATTGTAGAGTTGATGAACCTAATCTTCGTGGATGATATTTAGTATCAAACAATTTAATTGTAGAGTTGATGAACCTAACTTTGTTTGGATGATA